TTATTTAAAGAGAGCTAAAGTTACAATTAAAACAGAAAAAATTACAAGGGATACAGAATTTCATTTAACAAAGTAATATGAATTTCATAGTATTTATTATAATACACCGTGTTGTCTTCCAACCAGTTATTCATATTACCAGATATATGAATAAAAATTGGAAGAAGAAAGAAAAAAGAAAGAAGTGTATAAGAAATTAAGGGAAAAAGTACAAACAATTGAAGAAAGGAGATGAAACAAATTAAAGCATTAACTGCTTCTTTCCATAGACCAGCAGAAATGTACAGTACAGTTGTCCAAACCATCCTGCTTACATAAATATATAAATCCCTTTCCTCCACTCCTTCTCCTGTCCTTCTCCTCAACTCAGTAACTCTTTCCTTTTGAATAAGTCCATTCCCTTTTCCCTTCAGATTCCATTTTTTTCTTTCAGGTTCTCACACTAAGGAGACAATATGATGTTTGCACGTGTGGGTCTGATTTATTTCACTTAAGAGTGTGTTCTCTAGTTGCATCCATTTACTGACAAAAGACTCAAATTTATCCTGTTTTATATCTGAATAGTACTCCATTGTGTAAAAATTCCACATATTCTTTATCTATTTTTCAGCTGATTGGCATCTGGGTTGTTTCTAGGATTTAGCTATGACAAATTGCATTGCTACAAACATGGGTGCTTATATATTGCTGTGGTATGAGGTTTTTCAGTTCCTCTGGAAAAATACCTAGGAGGGGAGTATCTGGCTTGAATGGCATCTCCAACCCTAGCTTTTGAAGGAATTTCTACACTGTCCGGAACACAGCTGCAGTCAAAATAGATCAATGAGCTAAATATTAAAACAACACTAAATCTTCTGCAGGAAAATGTATGTAGAAATCTTAAAGACATAGGGGTAGGTAGAAAGCTCATGAACAAAAACCAAACTGCATGGGAAGTACTTCAAAGAATCAACAACTGAGATCTCATCTTTTTGAAAAGTTTCTGCACTTCAAAGCAAATCTCCAACAGAGTAAAATGAAAATCCACAAACTGGGAACAATTACAGCCAGCTCTTTCTGAGAAAGGCCTTCTATGTAGAATATATAAAGAATTTTAAAAAATCAAGCCCCCCAGATTTGAAGACCCAATCCAAAAATGGGTATCTGAATATACACTACTCAGAGGAAGTAATACAAATGGCAATTAAATATATGAAAAAAATAATAGCAGCATTGGTCATTTGAGAAATGCAAATTAAAACAACACTGAGACTTCATCTAAGCCCAGAAAAAGTGGCTAACATCAAGAAATCAGCCAATAACAAGTGCTGGAGAGGCTGTGGAGAAAAGAAAGAAAAAGAAACCCTTCTGCACAGTTGGTGGGAGTGCAGCCTGGTACATCCACTATGGAAATCAGTGTGAAGATTCCTTCAAAAGATAGGATTATTTTTTATTTTTAAAGAATACAAAATAGTAAAACAAAACAAAAAACATTATAAATGATACAAAATTTCTCTAAACAAAGTAATAGGAATTCAACAACGGTTTCTGTACTTTATTATGTTATTTTCAAATTTGTTGTTTAGTTTACCAGATATAAACCTGAAAAATTGGTTAAGCAAATCAACAAAAAGTTAAAAGAAATTAAAAAGGAAAAAAAAGAATACAACTAAAAGATTTTTAAGCATTAACTGCTCCTTTCTAAAGCCCAGCAGAAATTAACAATACAATTATCAAAATTATCCTTTGTATTTGGAATTTTCAAATAAATTTGCCTTTGAAATTAAATGATTCAGGTAGGAAAAGGTGTATTCTAAGAAAATTACCATATTATTAGCTATATGAAAAATCTACTTAATTTGCTAAACAGTTAACATTCTTCATCTTATAAGCAATATTTTAGGTGCTTTTTTTTTGGTGGTGGAACTGGGCATTGAACTCAGGTTCTTGCGCTTGCCAAGGAAGCGCTTATTCCACTGAGCCATCTCCCTGACCCCTATAAGCAACATTTTAATGCATTGAAATTTTCTGTGCCAAAAGATTGTTGCCTGGGTTTTCTAGGGTCAGTGAGAAAGACTGAAGTGATGTGACTACATTCACAGTGGGTGGCCACCATGTAGATTATTAGCTGGAATTAACACAGAACTTGTGGAAAACAGACAAATCTCCTAGTCACTCTTGGAACTCTTACCAACTTTGGAGAAAATCACATTACATGCAGAGGTCACCTGTGGGTAATTTTGAAGGCACATTACTGAGGTTTTGAAGCTGCTCTGTGGTGAGGACTTTGGCCCTCTTTAGATATCTCTCAAGAAACAGAAGAGATTTTAATTTTTTTTGTAACTTAGCTTTTTAAAAGTAAAATTGTAGCCTGAGGGGACTTAATAATTTTTCTGAGACTCTATATCTCCTATAAATATAGTCCACTTGACACAGTGAAATGCATAAAAAATAAGAATTTTTAAGAAATAGTAAGAAATAGTGAGATGCTATTTATAGTATTTTGTCGTGTTGTGGGCCATATGACTGATAATGATCACTCCCAAGTGATTGCTTTGTACAATCACAAAGTATGAGCTCAGAGAGTCACTGCATCTCTGGAGGCTGGTCTAGATATAAATGGGATGCTCATGGACACCGTGTTGCTGATAGAGAGCTGAAAAATGAACTATCCACCAAATCCATGTTTCCAAGATGATTGTTGGTAAGGGTGACGCCGCTAAGGCAAATGTGTCACTCCATGATTTTCTTTTCCATTCAAGCCTGTTTACTCAAAAAAAAAAAAAATTACAACAAAATTTCTAGTTTGGCATCTTTAAAACTGCAGTTTGCTGGGGGCTGGGGAGATAGCTCAGTGGAATAAGTGCTTGCCTAGCAAGTACAAGGGCCTGAGTAAAATCTCAGGTTCCACAAAAAAAAAAAAAAAAAAAAGAACAAAACTCTGCAGTTTGCATTCTTTTAAAAAATATTTTTATTAGTAATGTTGTAGTACAGGACAATCACATTTCTCATGAGGAGTTCATACACGTAGCTAACACATCTGAATTCCTTCTTATCTCCTTTCCCCTCTACCCCCTGACCTCCATTTCTTGGTTCCCAGCGCTTTTGCAAAAGATAGAGCTTCCTATTCCTATGCTTTTTAATTTTGTCCTTGATTGATATTTTGGTTTTTTCATATGAGACAAACCATGTGCTATTTAAGCTTACATGTCTATTTTATTTCACTTAACATTATGGTAAAATGAATCGGTTTTACGGCATTATAGTGCCACACTTTCCTGACTCATTCATCTGCTATTGAGCATTTAGGCTGCTTTCAAGGATTAGCTATTATGAACTGAGCTACTATAAACATGGCTGTGGTGTATCACTGTGGTGTGAGGTCTTCAGCACTTTCAGGAAGGTGCCTAGAAGAGGAGGAGCAGGGTCAAGTGGAAATTCTATCTTGGGGGACTTTCCATACTGATTTCCATAGTGGTTGTAGTAGCTCGTATAGCCACTAACAGTACAGAAGGATTCTTTTTCCCTGAAGCTTATGTCCAACCTCAGTAATATTTTCTATTAAGGAAGGCTACTCACCTGTGAGGTTATTATCTATGTGTTCCTCTAACTTTAAAATAATATTTATTATGCATCATATCACAGAATGTGTGACTAAGTTACTCAAAGACACCAACTTTGAAGGAGGAGACATTGACACAGTTTTTACCCCAAGTGCCACATACTGCCAGGTGGTCTGCACCTACCACCCGAGATGTTTGTTCTTCACTTTTATGGATGAATCATCACCTGAAGATCCTGGAAAATGGTAAATGCTTATGTCTCTACATAACCGAACTGCATTTCACAGGCCAATTACCGACCAATTAATTTCTATCTATTATCATATATAATGTAATGTTAACTGAAAAAATAAATTGTCTTTCAGTTGAAATACTGAATATCACAGGGAAAAAATGATGTTTAGGCTAGATTAGGGAGGAATCTGGTGTTGCTCAGCAGTGCTTTTCCAACTTCTTTTGAGGTGTTAGTATTAAGGGTCTCTCTCTCCTCTCTCTCTCTCTCTCTCTCTCTCTCTCTCTCTCTCTCTCTCTCCCCCTTCCCACTCTCTCTCCCTGCCTCTCTCCCCTTCCTTTCTTCTTTCCCTCTCTTCCCTTTATTTTTATGTCTTCATCAATTTGTTCCTTTTTCTACTGATTTTTGATAACTCATACTATTTAACTACAAATTATCCCCAACTATTTTGTTACCAAAATATATAAAAAGATAATTTAATATTTTTCAATGATTCCCCGTCACCATCCAGACACTGTCACTTTTGCTTTACCAACCTACAGATGCAGCACACAGAGATATTCGAAACATCGTGATATTTCCCCTCTAAGCATTCCAACTTGTATTATCCCACACAAGAGGCATAAGAAATTTAACAAGACTGTTCTTGTATCATTTTCACTTGTCTCTCAAATGTAATTTATGTCTATTTACTAATCCTTTAAATATCCAAAATTACCTGGGCCTGACATGTCTGTAATCGCAGCCCTCAGGAGGCTGAGACAGCAGGATCCGCGCAAGATCAAGACCAGCCTGGAGGGGAAATGGCTCAGTAGGCTAAGTGCTTGACTGGCAAATGCAAGGATCTGAGTTCAATCCCCGGTTCCGCAAAAAGCAGGGTAAAAAGAAATTTCCTCTGCAAAAGTTTTGGGCTGGAGAGATGGCTCAGTGGTCTAAAGCACCTACTTGAAACAAGCTTGGCAAAGCACAGGGACCGCGGTT